ACACCCTCCACAATAAAAATGATCGATCAACCTCTCATAATTACAAAAAAATGAACAAAATGAAAAATTATGATTGGTTGAATGCGGTTTGCACGGTTTGTACAAATTGAGTGGTTTGCATTTGATCGCTCCCCTATATATATATATATATATATATATATATATATATAAAATTGGAATCATGTGAAACCAAGGGTTTTCGTGAGATCCGTAAAACCAATTCTCAACTTTTGGATTAGATCTACAATCTGACAATCTGAACATTTATAAACGCCAAGACACTTCTCAATAATCACAAAATTGTCACCGTGCAACTTTATACCATTAGATCATTAGCTTATAAAGTTGATCAATGAATATAAATTGGTCTTACGGGTCTCACGAAAAACCATTGGTCTCACGTGAACCCAACCTTATATATATACGCACACACTTAAACTTGAGATCATCTGAGACAAAACTGTTTTGGTGAGACATGATTTTTATAATTAAAACTTCACAACAAAACACTGTGAAAATAACTTTCATAGTTTTTTTGCTATGAAAATTCGTTGTTTTTACTTTCATAACATTTTGTTGTAAAGTTTCAAGTATAAAAATAGTGTCTCACGTGTCTTACGAAAATAGTCTTGTCTCACGTGAACTCAACCCTATATATATACACATACATACACTAGAAGGTTACTTATGCAATGCAATGAGATACATCTCAATTTTAATATTTCATTTTATTTTGTTCACTGTGATATTATAATGCGGGTTTACAAGTATTTAAACCGTCTTGAATGGCTAAATTTATTATGTGTGCACAACAACGTGTATGAAATAATTTACCGTATGAAATAGGTGTCGAACGACACTTTAATTTTTTCACACAAATATTGTTATTACTAGCGTTATCAAATGAAATGCTAATTATTTTAGCAGTTAAATTATAAAATGCAAGACATTTTTTTAATAATTGAAAATTGACGTGCACCTGAATGTGGTGCACCAAATGGTTCAAACGCGATTACACGTTTGAATAAATGCCATGATGTAGGCTCAACCCAATGTGTCGTTATGCATATGTACGAAACCGGCAATCTGTATGGTGCGCTCCATACATCACACGTCAAAAAAATATTGTTAGGCAAAGCAGAAAACATTTGTTGCATTTCAGTTGGACACATTTTCCACATTTTAATTGCATCACGTCTAAGGGTTTGACGACTTATCGGCTTGTATCGTGGTTGTAGTGTCTCTTGAATCAACTTCGTAACATGAGGGTTGTCGAAATGTCTGAAAGGCAACCCAACTTGAATGACACATTGTGTTATCATTTGTCGGTTCAACTTGGCATTATACGACCATATTTGACTTTGAGTGTCAAGTATCGATTGGCTTGAAACACATTTTTTCAGTGTGCCCCCTTAAGGTAGAATTTCCTTCCTCCGTAAAGAGAGCTTGACATATTTTGCATTATGCCTTTCTTTTCCCGTTTGTGAGGACCACCAAATTGTAGTGATTCCAAATCTCGGATTTTCGTCCGTGGTCGGCGAGAACTTGGGCAACTTATTCTTTTAATGCATCATATTGTTCACGGGCCATTTTGAAGACAGAGAGAAAAAAATGCGAATTGTGAAGTGGAAACAAGAAATGAATACCAATCGAATTCTACAAAATATAACGAGAAACCGAGAATTGTGAACGTTTTTTTGCGTTTTTTGCGAATTGAGAACTTGGTATGTAAAACTCTCAACCTTGTTACATATTTATAGTGTTTTGAGGACAAAAAGTACAAAAAAAGGGTCAAAAACGGCTACATAATGGTCACATAACGGCTAGATTTTCAAAAAACGGCTATATTTTTCCGGCCGGGCCTTAACCGGTCCCGGTCCCACAAAACCGATAAAATCCTTAAATGGATGTAACCGGCAGTCCTGTAACCGGTCCCGGGCCGGGCCTGTTTGGCCATCACTAGACCAGACTATATAAGCATTTACATGTAACCTTTATGAAGTTAAAATCTGCACATATATTTTGGTTCTCGGAATCGATTCTTCACCGCTACACACTATATTTCATAATAATCGTATTCAAATCTATGTCCGCAATCCTTTCGATGTCTAATGAACTCAAAAATCTTCTATATGCTACGAGGAAGCTCCAATGGAGCCAGCACCATATCATCGAGTTGGTGCAAAAATTCTCAGAGATCAAAGTTGATCACTCGAAAGCATCGTGTTTGGATCTTGATTACCGACCCTTTTTGTTCATCTTTGCGTTTTTGCACATCCGGACACTTTTCGGAGTCACTTCAACCAACTCGTCTTCTTGGATGTACTCGATGCAGTCATCAAGACTATAATCCATCGGCGTATCAAGAACAACTGCATTATTCCAATTGAAATGATCACGATGATGGTGGGGGCTATCAACACGACAAGATAATCGTTGTTTTTATATGAATATGTTCGAAAGACCCTTTGAGGAGAGACGAGGTTCCAACATATAAGATGGTCCAAGTCTAGAGACTCTTAACACGCCCCCCCCTCCAAACAGAGACCGGGGGCTAGACAGTGAGGGACTGCCCCAGATTGTCGAGTCCCTATAGTGATAGACCTCGGCTCTAAAACCATATGGTAATATGTGGAACCCATCAGATTACTCTTCAAAAGAGCCCTTAGAGAGCAGTGTTGACGAGAAAACGAATATAAAAGTTTCCAACGTATATCAAAGAGAATGGTCCAATTCTGATAGACGTCAACGGTTTTAATCGACGTGTATGAATGGGACCTTTCTTTAGGACATGGACACGGAGTAGTTTCTTACCCGACACTTCTTTATTGGATCGGACGTTGGTAGCTGCTTTCTTTTTGCATACGTTGAGGGACAAGTCACCAGGTCGTTGATGGATGCCGACAATCATACCTTTGTAAACTTCTGTTCCGGGTCTAACGAACAATTGCCCCCGTTCTTGAGAACTAGCTAGAGCGTAAGACGTTGTGGTTCCATCCTCGAAGGCAACCTATACGTATAGTTTTTACACGAAAAGTAAAAACTATAAATACAATTTAAACGGCAAAATGAATAAAAAACGAAGTTTGCCTTAGCTCCTGTTTAGGTGCAACAATGAATATTTCTTTTCTCGATCAACGTAACATTGTTCCAAAATTTCCTATTTAATGTAACGAAGTTTTTAGATTTTCTTATTCTTTTACTTGTTTTGACTGGTAACCTGTTGATCTTATAACATTTGATAACGTGGATAGCAAGTTTATTATCCACTTGGCCGTAACCCTTTCGTAAATGGGTATCCACATCATCAAGTGTTATGAAATCAACAATTTACCGGTCAAAATGGATACAAATAAGAAATCTTGAAACACTTTTTTTATTAACCTAGATATCCAACCCGTTATGCGAGCCGACTAATCCCAGGGAGACCACCTGCTTTGCAGATAGCTCGGAGTCACCGCATTTGAACCTCCGTGGCCACAAGGGGATTTTTATTCCTCCTTGGATTTGAACCTGGGACCTTCTGGTACTTTTGACCTTTGGAGCCAAGCTCAAACCAATCAGGCACCACCCTTGTGGTTAAATCTGGAAACTTTGTTATATTGAATGAGGTAAAAAAAAATCTTCGTTACACTAAATCAAACTTTGTTGCATTTTTATGCCATTTGCCCTATTTTCAAATCCGTTCTGTTGAACGGATTCTTAGGGGGGCAATGGAAGGATGAGAAAGATTAAATTTTTCCGTTACCAGGGATCCAAGATCACGGGTTGACATGTCGCCAGACCAAGGTCCGTAACTGTCAAAGATCGTGTTAAGAATCGCCGTTCCTCGGGAAGCCGTCAGAATGGCATTTCGCAGTCCAAGAAGCCCACGAGTCGGTATCTTGTATTTCAATATCGTTGTTCCTTCAGAACTGATAAGAAAAGTGTAAAAGACTTTCAACATCCTATGGAACTAAAGAACCAAGAGCTTCGGGAATTTAAAGACGGGCAACGAGAGTAATGAGCGTACCCAAGCCCTTGCATATCGAACATCAGGCCACGCCTTTTACCGAGAAGTTCAACAACCGGACCCACGTGTTCTTCGGGCACCTCTACAGTGGCAATCTGCACGTAACATATTAAGCTTGGAGTAAACGATCAAATTCCAATTACGCTTTGTGTTTCTTTTAAAGAGTTTCTAAAGGATCCTGTATGAATAACCAAAGAAATGTATGATCTACTGGAGTAACAATTTTGTGAATATTTGTATTATAAATAAGAAAAAACGATCCAATTCTGGTTTCGATTGGTTCGGAACATATTTGGACCGACCCAAATTTTCCAAAACTTCACAGAGAAACCAGAAACACCGCATGGCCGAGTTTGGTTCAGTATGGACTAGCTGGTTTCGTTTGTCGATTGATGCCAACTTACGAAATCTCAGACAGAATAATGTTGTCGAGTTCGTAAGAAAATTGAGTTAGTTGCATTATTACCTCATAAGGTTCAAGCAACTTGTCATCGACTCTTTTGTTAATCACTTTTGGAGGCCCCACCATGAACTCGTAATTTTCCCTTCGCCTAGAATACGAAAAATTTGTGTCGATAAAAATGCTTAGTCCATAAAAACGGAAGATTCACAATGTAAACTGAAATGTCTTACATGTTCTCAATCAGTATGGTGAGATGTAAAGTACCACGTCCGCTAACAAGAAAAGTATCAGCAGTTTCACCGTCTTCAACTTTCATGGCCAAATTTCTCTCGAGTTCACGGTAGAGTCTGTCTCTTAAATTTCTACTCGTAACGTACTTTCCCTGAACAAGAACAAACAGGTGTTCATATGATACTGTAAACCATAAAAAAGACAAGACCGATGCGCGCTTCTCACATATGGTCATACTCAAACCCTTGACCTCTAGGGAGGCTAGGGTCTACTGGCAACCGGGGTACCACTCGGCCAATGACCCTACGGTCAAATCCCAAACTTGTGGGTTGCCTAATGAATTCCCAAGAATGTGTCACTAGGCACACAACATGTTTTCACCCTCTCGGACCTTTGGTGGATTAAGTCGACAGGTTACCACATCAACTTGAACCAGCCAAAACTCACCTTTGTTTTTGCCCACTTGGAAAATGTGAAGAAAGTTACTTCAGCACATATAATTTAATATGCTTTGTGCATAACATACCTCGCGACCAACAAAGGGTGAAGTGTTGATAGAGAAAGCCATTTTTACGGTAGGTTCTTCCACCCTAATAGCAGGCAACGCCTTCCCATCGTTTTTATCAGCAATTGTCTCCCCAATCTGATTAAAGAAAAACGAATGATGATTTCAGCATTTCCACTTTTCTCAGACAAGTAAACAATGGAACAAGGTGAATGTGTATGTGTATTTAGCCTTCTTATTTGAGTCGGCCCCTATATACATGTGCATATGAGTGTGTGTGTGTGTATGTGTTATTTACCTGAACATCACCAACACCACAGACGGCACAAATGTCACCAGCCTCCACACTTTCTGCAGGTGCCCTGTAAAACTTCTCAAATACGAACAATTCACTGACTTTTCCAAATCTGCATGCATCATCCGGTGTGCAGATCTGAGATCATGTTGAAAAGAAACACAAATTAGAAGGCAATTTTGTTGTTCCTCTTTCAAGTTTGCTTTCAAAAATCATCGCAATTTCGTTGTTCCTTTCTATGTCTTATGCTCTCAAGTTTGCTTTCAAAATCATCGCAATTTTTCAAAAACAAACTCTTAGACAAAACTTGTTTCTACAAAACTTTTTCACAAGACAGAGGCATTCACGGGAAAAGCCTCTCCACCTCTTAGGATAGAGGAAAGGTCTGCCTGCATCATCCTCCCACCCCAGATCATGCTCCGAGTAGTATTTACCGGATAGGTTTGGTTTGGTGTATTCATGATTTGCCTTTCGAAGATGACATATGTTCTTCAGAAGTTAATAATTTGAGTCGACTACTATAATCAAACTTACGCGAACATCCATGCCTCTACTCAGAGTCCCGGCATGTAAGCGTCCAATTGCTATTCTTCCCTTGTGCTCATCGTATTCGGTACTCGTGACCTACAAGTAGTTTAAGAACATTCAAAACCATTACAAAGTAAGCCACAAATGCTTCCATGTGAGTAACGAAAAAACTTGATGCTTTATAAAGCAACAAATATCACAGTTCTATAACCAAAGTCCAAAAACGATATGAAAGCAAGGTCCCAAACATAATGTCTTCCAATCTATAAGTATATGGTATAGACCTAGCATACAAAAACTCTATCCAAAACAAGAATCCACAAAGGGGCCCTTTAGACCTGAAAAACAATTTGAACTCTTTTAAAGTATTAGGAAAAGAATCTAAGATTGGAATAATTATGAAGTATCACCCTGTTCAATGGCAAACACAATGCTACACTTTTGATGCATATAAATAGAAGTTGTCGACTCGACTACTAGCACCCTTAAGAGACTGGATAATGATTTCACAACATCCAAATTGCATCTATGTTAGTAGCATGAGTCAAGGGGTATATAGGTCATTCGAATTTAAAGATCTTCCATAAAGAAAAACGAATGTGATAACACCCAGAGATGCTACATATAGACAACAATAAGGAGATGAGTCCCTGTAGCTTTAGCCCAACAGGTAAGGAGATGGACATCCTTGCAGAACGACCAGAGGTTTAGGACATCACCCACCTGCCCATGGGAGAGCAATTTACCTCTCCAGGATGGCCGTGGGACCAATACAAGGGTGGCATCATACCCTTTTTTCAAAACGATAAAAGAAATGGAAGACAAAAACTGGTTTATATTTGCACAATGCCTTTCTGGTTCAAAGTCAAGATTAGATTCTTGTCATATGATAGAGAGTGTCATTCAACAAAACACAAAATTTGAAGCAAGAAAGGGAATCGAAATACGGAAGGAACGTAAATGAGCAGTAAAACTCACAAGCATTTGAAGTGCACCATCTTTCTTAATACGTGGTCCTGGTATGCATCTAATTATCGTCTCAAAAAGTGGTCCAAGATCATCTGCCAAATTATCAGGAGAGAGTCCAGCCATTCCCTTTATACCACTCGCATATACTGCTTGGAAATCACACTGCACAACAATTGAAAATTTTGTGCGCTATGTTATATTATATGATAACACAAACATACAAGTGACAGAAAACTGTTTTCAAAGTGCATTTTGGTCCAATTTGTCGGGTCAAAAACAGAAAGGAAAGGGTTGTGGGTGTGTATTTCTGTTTGGGGGTTGCATATGACATACTTGTTCATCGGATGCATTTAGTTCAATGAAGAGTTCAAAAGTGGAGTTGATGACAAATTCTGGACGAGCAGACGGTCTATCAATCTTATTGACAACAACGACAACAGCATGACCAAATTCAAGAGCTTTCTTCAAAACAAATCTTGTTTGTGGCATTGGGCCCTCCACAGAATCTACCTGAAAAACAACCAAAATTCCCAGATGTTAGTATTGTAACTCGTGAAATAGGTGTCTATACAAAAGCAAATCTTTAGAGGCAAAAAGAGTTACTCCCTCCACCCCAAAACCAAAACCAAACGAACCCAGTAAATCCCACATGAGGTAGGGTCTAAGGAGGGTGTGATGTAAGAAGACCTTACCTCCACCCGATAAAAGATTGCAACATTTGGGTAATAAGTGATTAAGCAATGCATTGATAGGTTGTCAAGAAAAGAAAAGAGCTCAACAGTAATTACCACTAAAAGAATCCCCTCCACCATATTGAGGACACGTTCTACTTCGCCTCCGAAGTCAGAATGGCCTGGAGTGTCGATAATATTCATCTTTGTATCTTTATAAGTGATAGATGTGTTTTTGCTGAGGATCGTAATTCCCCTCTCACGCTCCAAGTCATTTGAGTCCATTATTCTTTCTTCTACAACTTGATTATCACGAAATACCTGCAAAAGTAAGCAACAAGTTAGTGTCGTTTCATTACTGCAAGAAAGAATCAACAAGTAATCTAAAAAGAACATATGGAAGTAATGGAAATGTAAGCCGAATATTATGCTTACTTTTGCTTGTTTCAACATTGCATCCACCAGAGTCGTCTTTCCATGGTCTACATGAGCAACAATTGCTATATTCCTAATGTCATTTCTCCTCACTAATGCAACCTTCTGCTCTGAGGGAATAATGTACTAAAAAGGCTTAAAAAATGCATAAAAACTGTTCAATGCATAAATATGATCCAAATATAACAAACCCATGTTGCAATTATTAAACAAGAAACGATGCACTGAAAATCGTTCGGTCTAAAACCACATCAGATAACACATGGATACAATTATGGACTCCCCTATAGAGATGGGGGGACTTCTTTCAATAACCCATGAAATTGTGATAACCTTGAGAACTAGTGCATCATGTGCTATTTCATAAAATCTTTTTTCATCTAAGAATAGGATTTAGAACATTGATTAGCATATATTTGTTTCACAATGTGAACCTTGTTAGCCATTTTGTGAAACAAAAGTGACACGTAAAAAGCTTTCATATAGTGAAACAAATATATGTTCATCAATACATTAAATGCTAGCCTTGGATGAAAAAAATCATGTGAAACTATGCCATAAGGTAAAAGTTCTCAAGGTTATCACAATATATGAAGTTCTCGTTTCATGACTCCCCTATGGAGGGGAAGGATGTATTATGTGTATATCTTCCAAGGTTGAGTTCTGATGAGGATGAAAGTTATGATGAGAAGGGTAAGAAGGGATCTCCACGCTTGGATCAATCCTAATTGAAGATCAACCCAAAGAGATGCACCAAGATGTACAGGATCAATCCTCTTGAGAAGTTTAATTCATAGGGTGGGGGTGAGATTAAAAGGGATCTAAGGGTCCGTATCCCTTCTACGCTTCTCACCTTAACTCCTATTCTCACACAATCCTTTCATACTATCTTCCAAATAGCAACTATCATTTCTCCCACAGACTACAATTTCATGAATATTATGATACTCAGATACTGGAAACCAAAACAGGCCCACCCAAGAACTGCTGAAGAAATTCTAAACCACTGATAACAAATCCGAAAGATAAACAAACTTGATTTAAAATCTGGAAGTTTAGTTGACTAATATGGGTTTGTGCACTAACTATGGGTGGACCTTGATCCGACCCATGATGACCACAAATCAACATGCTACATATGAGAAGTATCATCAATCTTTATAAGCAAGAAAAGTAAAATTGGGCAAAAATAAGGATACATCATAAACAAGATGATTGATCGAACAACAAGATAGCTATGGAAACTTATGCCATCTCCTGGGGTTTAGTCATAAATAGGCAAAAACTAAGCAAATTTCAACTAAATACTAGTTTAATGACCTTAGAAACAAGAAGGTGAATGAAAATTAAAAACAACCAAACAAAGAGAAACCAGACTATATGTAAAATTATACCATCGACAGTATCAATTGCCTCAGCTTCAGAAACAGAGCATTTGATGAAATTGTGAAGTGGGTTTCTTCTTGAATGCGAAAAAGATGAAGACTTGGTGGAAAACGAATAAGAAGATAAGGTGCGACCAACAGATAGTTGTGTTCTGAGGATAGATGAAGAAAAAGATGAGGTTCTATGATTAGGATTAAGTGTAGGAGTGACATAGTTGTGTAGTCCAACAGCCATCTCCATTGCCAATTTGCTCAATCTCAGTTCACAGTCTATGAACAGAGAAAGATGGATAGCAAAATGGGATGGAGAGGATGTAATGTAAGTGGAATCGAGAGGTGGTTATTGAGTTGAAATATGTTTGGGAATTTAACAGATATATTCGTTAGTAGAAGAGGTGAGAGATGATTTGGAGAAAATATGCATAAAATGTATGGCTCTGTTCCTTTCTCTCACCCGTGTCACCTTGTAGAGCAAGTGTTCTTATTTTGTTCAATATCAAGATGGGTCCAGTCCAGGGCTCGAACTGTTGGGCACCTGGCATAGCTGCCCAAATTGGGCTTTTTTTTTTTCGTATTCTTTGTGTTGCATCCAGGGGTGCTTATGGATGGAAAATTTACCGGTCGGATAGGTAACCCTAGTGGGAAGGGAATTCCCCGCTTTGGTATGTAGCGGTCCGGAGATGGGAGTTTGTTTTCATGTCGAAAGGGGGTTGAGGATGGTACTAACCGCCCTTAAATCCGACCCCAATAAACTTTTAATTTTTATTAATATATGTATATAATGTAGGGAAAGGTTCATTTGAGAAGTAAACCTTTCATCTTGTCAACATTTATGATTTTGACTGTGAAGCACCAGATAATTTATCACATGAGTATATGGAAGATAGAGGTATAGTTTCATAACTTTTATAAATAGGCGACGAACGGGTTCATATGTGAGCCAGTGTGATTCACATATGAACTATATGTTCATATGTGAACTCGTTAATTAGTTATATGTGAATTACACGGGTTCACATGTGAACATATAGTTCATATGTGAATCACACGAGTTTACAAGACCCATGAAACCCTGCAAGACCCAAGTTGGGTTGATGTCATGCAAGAAGAGCTCCAACAGTTTGAAACAAATAAGGTATGGATTCTTGTTCCTTTACCAAAAGATAAACTTGCAATTGGTACTAGATGGGTTTTTAGGAACAATAAGGATGAGGATGGCATTGTCATTAGAAACAAAGTCAGGTTAGTTGCAAAAAGCTATTGTCAAGAAGAAGGCATAGATTATGACAAGGCCTTTACACCAGTAGCAAGGGTAGAAGCTATATACTTATTTCTAGCCTTCTCTACATACAAGGGATTCTGAGTCTATCAAATGGATGTTATGTTAGTCTTTCTAAATGGGAAGCTAAAGGAGGAAGTCTATGTGCAACAACCTTCTGGGTTTGAGAGCTCAACACGCCCAAAGTATGTTTATTATCTAGACAAAGCTATGTATGGGCTCAAGCAAGCGCCAAGAGCTTGGTATGAACGAACATAATATAACCAACGTGACTATATCTAAACACACCAAGGATAGTCAGCTGCTAGTCTCAATCGTGATCTTCAGAGAGAACAAGCATGCCGACACTGACTATCCTGCCTTCCTTTCTCAATATGGATTCTACGAATGGTTGGAGATCATACATGCCATTTAGAGATCAAAGTCAAGGTACAAGGATGTGATCGAACATGCACTAAACCAACTCTTCGACATAATATGGAAGGTAATTGGCATTCCTCTTTTACTTAAAAAATCTCAAGGAAAAGAAGAACCATCATCTCAGATGTCGAAGAAGGGTCTTCTCACAAAAATGAAAATGAGACTAAGTTCTTAATAGATGTCTTTTTCGAGCACATGAAGAGACTTGACCTGTCAATGACACTGCCTGAGAAGAGTCCTTATGCTCCCAACTCAAGTGCACATCAAACCTGAATATGGTCTTATATTTCTAGACTATGATGGTGAGCGTAGATTTTAGAAAGTCTCTCAACTCCATCTTGTCCCAGTTGAACATCTCGAGTATCTTCGTTCCTGGATCAACGATGACATTTTTTAAGAGATGATGGACAAAGAGATCAGAAAGAAAATGCTGAAAAGAAACAATCAAGGAGAACAAGTCCCTTTCTACATTCCTTCTAATGATCTAGTTGATAGATAGAATTTCTTTTTCTTTTTATCAGTGTATAGACTTTCAACATTTAGTACTTAGACAACTTATAATTTCATTTACTTTGTAATCTTCAATTTCAGTTATCAATGAAATTTAGAAAGTACTTCACCTCATCAATGCTGAAAAGATCCCTGAAAACAGTAAATAAGACATGAGTATATGAGTTCTATTTTATGTTTAAACTATTAGTTAGTGATAAATTTTCTTTCCTTACATTTATCAACTAATATGCTTTCAATGGTGTATCGCTCAATCATGAAATTTCATTTAATCACTTGTAATCTTTTACAATAAATGAATTTCAACATAATACTCCCCGACACTAAAAAAGATCCCACAAAACAATAAATGGGACATGTATCTTACAAGTTCCATTCCTGCACTGTAATAGATAACAATTTTTTATGTTGCTTTGTCATCATCAAATAGGGGGAGATTGTTGATTCGAACTCTCTCAGTGATTTGATGATAACCCTACATACTTAGTGAAAAATACTTGTTGTATTTTTGTTCAGTTTGCAGCGATCATCGCTGAGTCTATTCGGTGATCGTTGAACATGTATTGTAAACGTTTCAAAGAATAAGTATTCTCCAAAGACAAAACTCATACCAAATGAACCTTCAAAGATGTCAAAGAAGTAGCTGGAGAAAGAGACACAACGGTTCATGGTTTGAAGTCGATTCAGTGATAATGGAATGTCTAAATCAAAGTGTGAAATATAATCAAGATTAAGCGAACGCTAAAGAACCTTTAGAGATGAATCAGTGTCAGCGATCAATTGAATCTTGCTCTATAAGATTAGATGTTGTCTTATTCTATATGCACAAAATGACAACTTCATACCTCACTCAAAAAGGTACACATACGGAGTTACTTTATTGTCTCCAAACGTGCTTACCAACTTTGTGAAAGACAACCGTTCATATACGGCTAAAAGCCTATACATATAAAGACAAAGAACAAGCTCTCAACTAGAAGTTTGTCACGTGGCTTGTACCATCTGATTTACATTAAATGCAACAGGTATAAATAGTTGAGAAGACTCCTCTTCTCAGCAACACCTTTTTTTTCTTACTCTCTACTTTCTTGTTCTTAATCTTCTTTGTGCTTTCTCTTCTTTGTGCTTTCCTATATGTTTCTTAGATTGTTTAGATTAAGTCTTTAACTTATCTATTTTCGCAACAATCTGTAGAATTTAAAAAGTAAAAATTTGTGTATTTGTATTCAACCCCCTTCGACAAATTATTATCTTTAAAACTCTTGTAGATCCGTTTTGGATCAACATCACTATTCTTATCATGCCTGGAGGGAGGAGGGCAAAGGGGGGATAGGTCACCGACCAAAGGCATGAAGAGGACTGTGGGGTGGGTTTTTGATCACCAAAGGGGACTTTGAGGGATGTGCATTTGCTGGAGGGGAGGGGCGGAACTATGTTGTTCGCTGGAGGGAAGGGGCGGAACGATGTTGTTCGTCGGAGGAGAGGGGTGAAACGATGGTTGTCATCAACTCATCAGAGGAGGTCACGCCTCCGTATTACATATACATGTTATATATTGTGTGTGTATAATATATATATATATATATATATATATATATATAATGAAGTTTGTATATAATATATATAGGGGCCCATTCAAGAGAGAACTGGCTAGTTTGTGGTAACCGTGAGATCCAATCTCAACCATAAATCAATAGATAAATTAGGAAATTTATAATTTTGGTAATTTTTAATTAAAATTTTAATGCAAGAACATTTTAGGTATTTTATTTACCTCTCTTCTCTCTCCGTCCCCGTCTTCCGCCCACCGTCCTTTGGCCTCTGGCCACCGTCCTCCGGTGATACCACAGTGTGATACTCAAGCACATATAAGATGCATTGTGATACCAATGTGTTACATATTCGATCGACCGCACAAACAACCACAATGTGATACTCAATCACATAAAAAATGCATTGTGATACCACTGTGTTATCACCGGAGGATGGTGGCCGGATGCCAGAGAACGGAGAGAGAAGAGAGGAGATAGGAGAGAGGAGAGAAAATACCTAAAATGCTATTGCATTAAAATTTTAATTAAAAATTACCAAAATTACAAATTTTCTAATTTATCTATTAATTTATGGTTGAGATTAGACCTCATGGTTACCACAAACTAATTAGTTCTTATTTTGATTAGACATATATATATATATTTTTTGAAGTTTGTTTTGGCCTTTGAAGATACAATGGCCCTGATTTAAAAAGATTAATTAAAAAATATTAAAATAAAGAAAAAATAACAAAAGAAGGCAAACAAGGCAAAATTACCCCTAACTTAAAAGTAAAACTTTTAACGAATCTAGTATGAATCACTTTCAGAGCAAAATACAAACCACAATGATGATTTCTAGACTTATCAAACTTCAGGTCTCACTTTCACAAAATTTCACTACCCACCACAAATATATCATCTAATTTTCAATTTTATTTAGGAGGTGTTTGGTTCAGTCAGATGAATGTAAATGAGAATGAATTTCCATTCCTCCCAGTTTAATATGGGTTTATGGGGGAATGAACTCATTGTATTATATAAAATCAAACAGTTTCTTTTATTTTCATTCTCATTAATTACTGGCTAATACCTCTAACCAAACACTCCCAAATAACTTAAATCATTATCTTAAAAACAACATATTGAAACACAGAAAATCCTAAAACAAACGGCGACATATTTGACGTAAGTTATATGTTTCGAAATATTAGACTGTATACTGATAATTTTTTTTACAAAAATATCAAAAAGCTTGTTCATCATGAATGTTTTATTCTCTTTTATGTCAATATAATCAATACTTACCTTGATTATAATTTGACACGGTTGGATGCCGACTTCTGAAGATAAGTGGATGCTGAAAGGATCGAGATGGCTTAGTCACGAATAATATCTACGTCGAAGGTAAAATTGGTGTTGTCATAGCTACTTTTAGAAATAATGTGGTATAAAAGTTAGATTTAAAGCTTAATAAAGACTAGATTAGAATTGATTTTTTGATATGATTTTTTTATTAACTTTGATATCCAACCCGCTATACGAGCCGACTAATCCCAGGGCGACCACCTGCTTTGCAGATAGCCCAAAGTCG